AAAAAAAAAAAGGGAAAAAAATTTAAATTCTGGACTAACGACCTTGTAAAATATTATAATGGCAGTGCATCAAATTCAGTGTCATCAGTTTGCCTAAATGAACACAGAACGTTTTACGCACCATTTACACGTGGTAGGGAGCAGGTGTAAATTTATTTCCTATTAACGAACATTTTGAAAATACGAACATTTTCATGAATTCGAATGTTTATGTCAGAACGGCTTTACGAACGATTTACACAAATTCGTTCTGCTTGTGTTTCATGAATGAGGCCCAATGAGAGCAGTGTCATAATGATGTCTTTTTGAGGGTTTTGCTCAAAATAACACATTCAGAATAACTCTTGAGGTTTAGCTGCAAGGCTAAGGGTTTAGGCCTCATTTTGGTTAAAGTACTAATGGAACGTGTGACAACGGGGAGAAAGTCTATAGCAGTGGTTTTGTACCTGGACTAGGGCAGTGCTACATATTTTCAAAATGGACTGGTCAACTAATTGGTCTTAAAGGAATAGTTCAATCAATAATTACAATTCTGTCATCATTTATTCTTTGTGTTGTTCCAAACCTGTATGACTGTATTTCTTCTGTTGGCTTCCACTGTGTGGACCAAAAAAAACAAAAAAACAGACATTTCTCAAAATGTCTTATGTTCCACAGATAAAGTCATACAGGTTTGGAATGACATGAGGATAAGTAAATGATGGCAATTCTCATTTTTGGCTGAACTATCCCTTTAAGGAAGCCCTTTATGAGCAGTCTGCTATCAAGCTGATTGCTAATTAGACATTTCTTATAGGGATGCATTGAATTGATGAAAAGTCAAGTGATAGTAGAGACATTTATGTTACAAAATATTTCTATTTCAAATAAACACTGTTCTTTTGATCTTTGTATTCATCAAAGAATCCTGAAAAAAAATGTATCATCACAGTTTTCAACATTAATAATAAGAAATGTTACTCCAAATCAGTATTTTAATATTATAATAGAAATAAATTACATTTTAAAATATATCGGTACACAAAATGTAATAATATTAATATTTTCATGTATTTTTGATCAAATAAACACAGTCTTCTCTAGCATGAGACTTAAAAAAAAAAAAAAAAAACATTAAAACAATATTACTAACCCCAACCTTTTGATCATTAGTGTACATTAGACACGCAAGGTTCTTGGATTCTTAAACACTTAGGCACAGAGCAACAAAAATTAATCTCGAGATGCATTTTTAAAAGTTGGACTATTTTAACTTGACATGAAGTCTTAAAAAAACTCATTTCTGAGAGAGTCTAAACAACTAAAGTACACTACCAGCATACTAAATAAAGCACTGCCACTAAAGATGTCAAAACGCAAGTTATGTAACTAATAAAAAAAAAATTAAGATAAACAACCTCACTAATCAACTGGCTGTTTGTAGTCAACCACCATGACCCATCGTAATATTGGACACCAAATGGCTAGCGAAAATAATTACGAACCACAAAAATCCATTAATATACTAAATGATTAACATGACATAAGCTGAATTGGAATAATGTAAATTCCTGTTTCTAATTGTCTCTTTGATGACATTAAAAGGTTTCATGGTCCTGCCAGCAATAATTAACCAAACAAAGCAAAGAGGATATGGGAAAGTATATACATCTCCTCCTTTTTAAAGGTCAACGCGCCCATTTATCATGCTGTCCTAACAATACACAATTATATAGTTTGTTGCATTTTACATTTATTTCACTTTCATCGCTGTTTCCTCACAGTCCGTGACTTAATCAGAACAGAACAGATAAATAAGGAAAGGAAAAATACTGTCTAAATGGAAAACACTCTCTGGTCATGTTGTTACCGCTGTGCTTGTCTGTGCCAAATCCATCTGCCGATCACTAGCAGCCAACCAAGATGTCTGCATCTGCAATTTTAGACTCTAAATATTTACAGATGTCCACTCAAAGCCAGTGCAAAAAGACAGATCAATCAGAGTAAACAACCAAAGACCCCATTTATATGAATACAAACGGCAAAATCTAAAACTACTGCAAAGGCAGTTTAACGAGGCTTCTCTGAACTCAAGAAATCCAAAATGAAATTTGTAATCTAGCAGATGCGTTTATCTAAAGCAAGTTACAGTAAACTTATTACAGGGACAGTCCCCTTGAAGCAAACTGGGGTTAAATGCCCATGACCTTTGGGGTTGCCAGTCTAGATCCTTAACACCAACCACATGTCCTCCTTAAAAAAAAAAAATCTAAAAGCAGTTTTATATAATGAGATAACGTTTAAACCAAAAAAGGAAGTTTTTATATTCATCAGGCTTTAATATTCCACCTTGCGCACTACCAATTCCTCTACACACCAAATGTATAATTCATTAAAAAAAAAAGCCTATCAACATTTAAACCATCGGAGCACGTCAGGATGGCATCTCCCTCAGGGAAATATATATGCCTGCAGCGTAATTCACCATCGCTGAAACCACGGACAGATCGTGGAGCCATCTGTGTTGATTCTGAGTGATGGTACAAGGCGACTCGATTGAAGCTGGACCAGCAAGCTCCCCTAGGAGATCTCGGAGAAGAGCAATCACTGAGATCTCTTACACCCATAAAACACACACTGTTCCCTAATAGCTTCAACCAACAAGATAAACAGCAGCCCATATGTATGAAAAGCGACAGAAGAGCAACCCAGCTCCTGTTCGCCTGCACACATGAGGCTCATTTGGATATGAAAGGCATATCGGTCTATAATTGGTCTATCACCTCACTGGCTTCAGCCTAATGACAGAGCGTGGATGATCTCATTACAGCAAATGGAAAGCTGTGAAATAAATCAGATCAAAAGAAGCTTGTGCTTAACCGGTCTTGACGGTGTGCTGTACTGACCTGTTCAAAGAAAACAGACATACAAACACACTTCACACTTCTTAGTTATATTTACTTTGTGTGTCTTGTATCCTGAGGGAGATCGCTGCACTGGAACACTCGCCAAAAACATCTTGTACAATCTTGACTAATAGATAAAAGATTGAGTAATAAATAAGTCAATCAATATTGACTTTATGACCAATACTAATACATATTATTTTTGATAGCGTCTTAGAACTACTTTTTAAGTTAAACCTACCTTACCTTAAGAAAAAAAATTTACCATTGAATAAGGGAGCACCTAATAACAGCACTCAGCTGTGCAGTAACGATGTATTATAATAATCATAACTGGATAATTACTCGACTCTTTAAATAACTCAAGCAAGACACGTTATCGGTTATTGGGCACTTATCAGTCATAAAAAATAATATGGGTTAATCCAATTATTATATGTTTAAGTGTCCAATACGCAAAATGTGGAACTGATTTTAATGATTTAATACGTTTTACACAATAATAACTTACTGATCGTTGTACTACAACAATCATATACATAATACATATTTTATTACTAATAATATCGGATTTATTTGTTTATTTGTTTATTTATTTAGTTGATTTGCATAAATCGTTACATGAAAATTAATGGCTAGTAATTAAAAACTTCACCACTTATTTGAGAACCAATAACCAATTAAACTGAAGTTGGTTAATACGGTTTAAAAATAAAAAATATTGTTCAAACCGATTATCGGATCTCTTCTAACAAACATGAAGTGTATGTCATACAACCACTGAGCAGAAAAACGTGCAGCTTTTATATAACAATCTAAAAGTGAACATTGCACAATCCTGCAAAAGATAACGATAATAATAAACTGTGTTTCCACCTCCTGTAAGTCACTGACAGCAACAATATGGCACCCGCAGAATGACTCATCATATTCAAAAGAAGAATATTGACCATGTTAGTTGGCAAACCTGTTAAAATCACAATTATATGAATGGCTCACTGAGCGTCAGCCTTGCTGTGAGATTACTCTGGCTGAAGGATGTGTTACTCGCAGTCTGCGTGAAGATGTGTGGGAAGTGTTGACTAACTCACCGCTGCTGTAGGCATATGGAGACTCAGCAGAACCGTCTTGAAGGCTGTCCAGGATCTCTCCTTTCCCCACATCGCTATCTCCCACCAGGAGGAACTTGAGCAGGTAGTCGTAGCTCTTCACAGGGCTGCCCTGGGCGCCCATGATTGCTCACATCAGAGCCAGAGCAAAGAATAGGAGACAACTGTGTGTGTCCCTCTCTGATTCCTCCAGAGCTCTGGGGGTCTATGAGTCTCTTGTGTCAGGTCTATCTTTGAAAGGGTGCAAGGCCAAATCTGCAGACAGACCAAATCAAACCATTTCCCTCCCTTCCAGTCCAGACCCAGAAGCGTTTAGTCTTTAAAATATCCAGTCGTATTCACTCTTCCAGTCTTAAAATAATATCAGTGTACAGATGCTTCAATGGCTGGCAAACTGAACCGCTAGGTTGTTTACATTTCTTCACACGAGCTCAAATCGTCGTTAATGATACAAAATGAAAAGAACACGTAAAAACAAAACATTTACCTCATCGTGGCAAGTTATTGCTATGATAGAAAAGCAACTGAGCTATCGAGCTAGTGCATTGTTAGCATGCGCCTGCCAAGCTGTCAACACAAAGAAATAATCTCATTACAATCTTATCTAGAAACCACCTGCACGGTTATGACAAAATTACTAACAAGAATGTATATTTGTTATCGTAAAACTGATTAAAACCCAATTAAGATGAGCCGTTGTTCAGATGTAGTAACACAGCATCGGCTAACGCTACTAGCTATGAGCCTAGCGAGTCAACAACAGGCGCAAAACATTGATTTTATACCATAATTCTCTAGTCCAGCATAAGCTCCTCACGATTTCAACATATTCCTGGTGAAATGAGAGAAAGAAACGTTAGGCTGAATCAAGAAGGACATCCACAGTCGCGCTTGAGTTAGCTTGAGCAGTCGATGCTAGCGCGTCACGGCTCCCTTTCTCTGTTTCCCTCTGAATAACAAAGATTGCTGAAGGTTCACGCGTCGCGTCTCGGGATCTATGCGCGTTATCAGGCTGCGGAAGGTGAAGGATTATTACACGAGAATCCGAGCCGCTGGATATGATTGCTTGTGCGGTAAATGCTCTCGGATACCCAAATTTGTCCCATGTTCTCTCACAGAGGAGCGGAGAGATCACACACACTGTCACGCTGAGCTTTCACCTCTGCGTTCTGACTGACTGTACCTCCCCCTACACACACACACACACACACACACACACACACACACACACACACACACACACACACACACACACACACACACAGGTTTACAGGTTTACAAAGTGGGGACATCCCATAGGCGTAATGGTTTTTATACTTTTATTGCCCTACACCAACCCTACCCATAAACCTACCCCTCACAGGAAACTTTGTGCCATTTCAGATTTTCAATACACTCCATTCTGTGTGATTTATAAGCGTTTTGAAAAGTGGGGACATGGGGTAATGTCCTGAAAAGTCACCTTC